GGACATCCGTAGCCCTCCCCGTGACGATAAGGTAAACACGACAATTATAAGGCTTTGTGTTTATTCAATTATAATTTTTTCTGCGTTCTGCCGTTTTTATTTTCTACTTTTGCTACTTCTACGACACTAATTCAGCCTTTAATGTCACAAAAAACCAATACAAACACCAAAATTACTTAGAAACAACATTTTAGCAAACACGGTGGTGAGTAAAGACGCGGTGGTCAAAATATTTAAAGTGGGGATAATATAACGGCATTGTATAGCACTGGGCTTTTTGTTTTTGTGCTGCATAATATTTTCAACTCATTACACAAATGTTTAAGTATTTATTTGATAATAGAAAAAATATTTTACACAATTTTTAGAGCTAGTCAGTTTCTATTCTTTATTTTCTTTGTTTATCAACAGCTTAAATATTCCTAATTGTTGCATTTTCACATCAATATTGCATAGTGTTTCTTACTTCGCATTATTTTGTTATAATTTTCTTTAATTTTTTTACATAAAAAATTCGCTAAAATTTGATTTCACAAAATATTTAAAATAAATTTTGTTTTTTTAAATTTCATTCCCCACTCTCTTCAAAATTTGAGCTCAAAATTGTTTTGTTTCGTTTTGAATAAAAATTTTTGACTGATAATGACGTATATAGGCAAAGGATCTGGGTTCAACCAAAAGACTAGCATGATATCTGCTATGCGTGAAGACATAAAAAGTTATAGAAATTTAAATACAACAGCACCTAAAGATGAAAACTATCGGCTAGCAATCAGAACAACTTACTTAGCATTCAAACTTCCAGAACGTGTAAAATTATGCCACCTTTGCGATGTTTTTAAAAAGGATTTACCCATTTGGTCCTCATCTCCTGGTCTTCCTTGGATAAATATAGGATATAGAACAAAAGGTGACATTCAAGCTGACCCGGAAGCAGTACAATCCGTACGAAGATTATGGTATAGGATAAAGCGTGGTGAAAATCTTGAGTTGCCTGACTGCCAGTGGCGTAACTACAGGGAAGCAACTGGAAGCAACGCTTTCGGGCCCCCGAATTTAGGGGGCCCCACTATAAATTTTTGTATTCATTGTATTTCTTTTTAATAAATTCTCAAAAGTGGGACGAAACGTTTTTTGTTGGAATAACTTCATAATGCATTTTATAAAAGATACGTAAATTTTAAATTTAAAGTACATAATATGTATGTACTTCAAATAAAATATTAAACCTATTTATGAAATAAAATAGTTTTTCTAAGATAAATATGTGTCTTGATCGAGAGTTTATATGGAAGCTATATCTAGATTTAAACCCATTTGAAAATAATTTTGTACATTGTCTTTTGCAAATATCAGTACTGTATACACCAAATTTCATTTGAATACCTTTATTAAAAACGGAGAAACCTCATATCTGATTGTTAAGTTTATATCACAGCTACAAGAAATAGACGTCCAATTTCAATCAAATCAAATGGTGAACAGGGTCGGCTCCCGAAAAGTATTTGTGTAAAGTTTCATTCAAAGAGTTCAAAAGCTGAGAGAGTAGTTTGAACTGAAAAAGTATATATATATTGTACTGATATATACTTAATGGTATTTCCGACGTGTCCTTTAATGCGTTACGAAAATCTTGACTAACCTTATATATCCTTTTCACATTTTTTCGTGTAAAGAGTATAAAAAGAGGGGCCCCTTAGTATGTTGGTAGGGGCCCCTTAGTTAGAATTTGCTTACAGGCCTAAAAAATGTAGTTACGCCACTGCTGACTGCTGTGCTTATGTCAGTTCACAAATTGTAGAACAAGGAAAAATAAATGTAGAGTGGAGATATCCTGCTTCTGTTACATCGAAGCATATAAGGCAAACGCATTGAAAATATATCCTATAGATTATGACCTTAAAAATGGTTTAAAAGGATGTAAGAAGTTGTACTCTACTTTTAAAGGTAACTATTTTCTTGGTATTGTTTTCAAAAATTTTAATAAAACGTTGCCGCCTTGGTTAATTGAATTTGCTTTTGATATATTAATCTTAAACATCGATTTAACTGCATATGAAAACTATGGAATACCTATCACAAAACAAATGTTCGATATATTTGAGATTTTAAAAAATTATGCTATCAATACTCCGATACAGTTGCAGAATGGAGAACGTTATGTGAAAAATTACGGCTTAGCTAATGGAAGTTATTTTTCTGATCTCGCAGAAAGCGTTTGCAATTATTATTTAATCACATATGCATGCTTAAAACTGGGAATAAAAATCATATCTATTAAAGTGTTTAGACATAATTCAATCATCGGAATTGACAAGTCATTAACGCTTAATGATATTTCATCCGTTCTCGAGCCACTTGGAATTACTCTTAATGTGACAAAATCTTGTTGTGTTACAAATATTAGACGTTTGAAATAATTTACGGATCACAACAGTTAATTCATGTAGGGTTTCTAATATTATATATGTAAGGGATCTAATAAAAAATATAATATGTAAAGAAAATATTTAAAAATTTGTATAATAAATATATTCTTTTATAGAAAACAAATGCTTCTTTAGTGTGTATATATATTATGTATATCTAAAAAAGTTTAGTCTAAAATCTTGTATTGATTAGGAATTATTTTTATGCCGGTTAATAAATTTAATTGTAATGCCATGTTCATATTACATTAATTTAGCTACCAAGCTTTGCTAACGTCAGTTACCTAATGTCGAGCGTTTACATGATCCCTTTGGCTTTTCATTTTATCAGTTGTGAGTTTGTCAAAGTTTGGTTGTGCCTACTTTAATATGAGAAAGTAAGCTTTCATACATTTCCGTTATTGGCTAATACAGACATCCTTTGCCGCGCCAACCAGTCGGATCAGTTGCTTGCTGTCGCCACTTGATAGTACCGAGCGACCCCAAATCGTTGGTCACCTGGTCTTCTCACCTAAGATGCGGACGTTCTCTACTCGCTGCGGGTACCGTATCAAATACCTTTCTAGCCGGAGGCCGGAATGCTATTCGCACGATATGACCAAGTCAGCGAAACGAAGTAAGCCGACAAGCTGCCCTACTTAGCACTATCTAATCTCAGAGTAATCACTAACCGCAAGGGGTGATACGCAGATCTTAGATCAGTCATTGCGTAAACACGAAGCTTATAAGGAATACAAAAATTAGTCAGTGAGATAGGTGAGACTCTGCAGAAACACCACAGCTATCAAAGAATAAAAGTGCCCAGATGCATTAACTCGGAAAAGGCTCAACTAGAAAATAAAGTTGGTTCTGTGAACATGGTATAAGAGAATCGATTAAAATTACCATTTACAAACATTTAACTACAATCATTAAATGATATTTTATTAAATATTCTTCTTTACATAAATATATATAATATACTAATAGACATCAAAAATATACTTGTAATTCTTAAAATGTAAATTATATGATTAAACACTTGCAACATATTTTTAACTCATTTGGAATCATTCCATCATAGCTAGTATTTAGTATACTTGTTTTAGATATAATTAATATAAATCTATTGTTATATAATTATGTATATGTATATATTAAAATGATTATTGTTAAAATATAAATGGATTTTAATATATAATATAAAAAAATATATTAAAACACATATATTTATTCTGTGAAGTACAAAATTAAATAATACAATATTTTAATATATATTGTTATTATAAGTAATCTATGTGCCAATCTTATAAAATTAAAATTTTAAAAATTTTTATAAATCAATACAAATATGCCATATAAAGTTATAATTTATAAATTAATAATTTAATTCGCCATGCTTATTTGGAACTACAATCATAATTCTAAAAACAATAAATTTCATTTAATCAATTCTAATTAATTAGTTTTTTTATATAATTTAATTATATATAATTAATTTAACTTATTCACCAAAAACATTAAATGTTTAAAAAAAATTTACTTTCAATACAAAAAATTTATACGGTAATATTAATATTTTATTCGATGGCAGTAAATAAAACTTTTCTGTCCAGTACTGGGAGTTCGACTTTTTATGTATATGGGGTATATTCTTCGGTATTCTATAAATATTACTTATATTTATTTCTGTATACAAAATTATTATTAACATTATTTTGGCAACACTGCACCTTTGACTAAACATTTTTAAACCTCTTTTTTTTCACATTTATATTTATTATATAAAAAATTAGGAGTACACATGTATATGATAAGATATATATAGTCAAATTAAAAAAAAAACAATATCTGGATTTTTTAATTTCGGTTATGGAGTGCAAAATATAATTTGAAATTTTTAATAAAATTATGCCCAATAATTTATGGACTATACGCTGGAATTTCAAGAACGAATTTTGATCATGTATTAAATGTTTTGATAATATTAAAAAAGAAAATTAAGTACAATTTTTATAAAGTACGTGAGCAACTAAAATTTAAATTATAATTTTCTTCTTGCTTACTTCACGTAAAGTCTGTTGTGTGAACAGACTTAATTAAGATAAATCTTAATTTTATCTTAATAACTTCACTTTGTTTCTAATTTTGGTTCACATAATTTTTCTCGTGAATAAAAATGACAAACTTTGAAACAATATAAATTCAAAATTTAATTTTAACATGATTTTATACATATTACAATTGAATCGAATTTTTATATAGAATCAGATTCTCATTTTAATTCGACTTAATGAAATTAAAATTAAGAACGAAATTAAGATTCTTTCTGTCGTCCAAATATAGACTTTAAGAAAATTCATATATAATAGAAGAAAATTTTCTATTTAATATGAAATAGAAATATTATTTTTATGTACTTGTTTGACTCCATTCTTTGAAAGCGTGTTTACACAGCAAATCTTGATTTCATCTTATATCCAATTCATATTACAAAATTTAAGGTTTCTTGCAGAAACCCTATTTGTTCTCAAAGTAGCTTCAATCAGAAATTAAAGCAAATTGCGAAAATTGAGAAACAACTACAGCTAATTATGTGATAATGCGAGAGCGTAAAAGAGGAAAACAGAAATTTTTAATTAAATTTGCACATTGCTTTTACTTGCGCCAGAAGGTTATAAGAGAGTTTGAAAACCACAAACAACAATAACTTCAGAAAGTTATAAGCGGTGTGAATGGGATATTTATTTTGTTACTCGTTTTTATAACGAAGTGAGCCGAACGAGAAGAATGCAAAATTACGATCTCTTGTATTCTATAGATAGACTATTAAGCAGATATAACAGATAATTATAAATTCTTCAATGTAATGTATGTTATGTTAATAAAAAATTTTAAATAACATATACAAAACACAGTTCATGACCACATTGAAGTCATGTGATTGAAATCAGTTGAACGTAAATGACTGCCGCCTCAATTAATATTAGATATCATACATGTATATCATGTATATATACACATATATTGAGTGGTATGCGAAACCATAAAATAATTATACGTTAAGTACTTTTAATTATAAAAATGACTGAAAAAGAATTATAGATGATAATTCGGTAATATAGGAATCGCTTTAGTTACATATAAACTGATCAGATATCAGTGTTTGAGAATAGATCTTGACATAAACAAATCTTCCATATAATAAGTTACATATTATTTAACTACAACTAAAGCATTTATAGAAATGCTATTGAATGTATTAGATTAGATGTAACAGAGATTTTAAACTATTTAAGTATTTAAAAAAAACTTAACTGCTGCTGTTTACTCGATTGTTGTTGTTGCTGTTGTTGTATTTGTAATGTTGAAGAATTTCGAAATAATAAATTTGATTTCGAATTCTTTAACATATTGTTGACATTGCTGCTAGTGATGTTGCTAGTTATGTTTCCGTTAATGTTGTAATGCACAGACGACATATGTTAGAAGAGACGTTTCTCATATGAGAACAAGCCATGAACATTGCCTTCAACTTGAGCGGAATGTGTACGTTTCATAAAACGTAATTCGCCATTGTAAATCATTTTTCTATAAAAACATATTAGTAAGTTTATATTATAATTTTAAAGTTAAAACATATATGAAAATCAAACTCATATTAACATACTTTAACTCATCAATCGAACGTGCGCCAATATCTTGACAACTATGCTGTAAGCCACATTCCAAATATGGTAAATAATGTAAAACAGATCCTTTGTCAACAATACTACCGCTAACACCTTGTGCTACCTTTAATTTATCCATTTCGTTATGATAATAACGCGACATGGCAGCACCTTTAGCATCTCGACGTTCCATTGCTTCAAGTGAACCCATTCCACGATATTTCTTAAGACGAACACCATCAGAAAAGAAATATTCACCAGGTGCTTCAGAAGTGCCGGCTAATAATGAT